TATTCAAAACGTGTTTTCTGAAAATAAATAAATAAATGTCTAGTACGTATCTGTAAATATATAATGCAGACTCTGCACGTCAAGAAAAAATTGGAAAGACAAGTCAAACAGACACTTTACTAAGTAAATATCTTCAAATATTTTAAAGAAGATAAAAATATAAAATCTAGCCTGCTTTATATCAAAGATCCTTAAAGGATATTTTTCCCATCAGAATTGACAGAAGGTTTGAGAAAGAAAGGAAATTAAAACGAGTTTCCTGTAGAGTTTTAATATAAGAGTTGGATTTTATTGAAGATTTTTTATTAAAAGATCAGATGATTTCATCCGAAATTGAATCGGAATATACACTGGTTATTATAAATTAAGGGAAAATTCCCCAAATGACCATTACTCAAAAAGTTACTTATAGAATTTAATGAAACTGGCACATAATAAAGTATAAAATAACATACAAGTTATTTACCAGTCCTATGATGTTACAGAAATAAACTTAGGTATGAAATGAATAAATCAGATGTACCAGTTCGGAATAACAAAGGTAAATCACCTCTAGTAGTAATGCAGCACACACAGCAATGTGAGATGTTTTTAATTATGCGAATTACCAGTTCAGTTGGAAGCGTGAGCCATTGCTCTTGTAAAGTAATTGCAAGCATGGCAGGAGTCTGGGGAGGAGGATTGAGAGCAGCTGCTCATCTTCCTAAAACATCTCAAACAAGTCTTGTCATTGAGCTAGCCTCTCCATGAGCGGAATTGTTTGTTGCTCTGAGATAATCATCCACGATGCATGCGAGTCCTGTGCTCTGTTGCGTTATTATCCTGTAGCACGAAATCATCTAATTTTGTACCAGAATAAAAGCAAACATAAACATCAAGAATGTCATCACTATACACGTGAGCATTCACTGTTCGACGTGGAAAGACATGAAGGCAAGTGTCCACCCAAAGTGATACCACCGCACACATAGGCACTGCCTCCTTGGTATGCATCTCTTTCCCGGATGCTTGATGGATGATATCGAGTTCCAGGTTTTCTCCAAATCAAACAACGCCTGCTATCGCTTGGAGGTTAAACCTGGACTCATTCCCTACAAGAACAGTCCGCCATTGGTCAGCCGTCCAGTCGACATGCTGCTGCTTCCACCTAAACCGCTCCCTTCAATGACACGACAATAGCAGTACTCAAATTGCTGGTCACCTAGCAAGCAAACCACTTTCGTAAGACCTTCTACGCACAGTAGACGTTGACACCAATCTTCCGATTGTTGCACTAAGAGTGGATCTGACTTCTATTTCTTCGTCCACATAACGACAAATATCGACAACTGGCGCTAGCATAGCATTTGACTGTCCTTAGCTGAACCATCTGGATGCTGAACCTGTGGTTGGAAATTGTTTCCAAAGTCTATGAACCACAGAAGAACTCACATTTAGCCATCGGGTTACTTTTACCTGACTTTGTCTTGCCTCTAGTCTTCCAATCGCAATTCTTTGCAATTCTCAATCTCAATCGCAGTTCTTCGGAGAAATGATACCAGAAGGTCATTGTTACAAATTGGTTATCTCAAATTTCTAATTTAAAAATAAATTAGAGATTCGCAAGCTTGCAAAATTCGCAGGCTTGCTATCAAACATACAATTTTATATTCATTTCATATGACGCCATTCCATTACATCGCTTACTAATTCACATATTGCAGTTTTACTTAGCAACTCTGATTTGACAACATATTCAATTTTCATTAAGATTGGCTTATGTTTGGGAAAGTTATCACTATTTTTTGTAATTTTTCCTTAATTTACAATAACTAGTATAGATAATAAATTTCAGTAAATTACTGTTTTGACATAGTGCTGTTTTTTTTATCAAAGTTGTTTAAAATCTACCGGTGTTTCATCGATTGACTATCCAATTTTACCCAGAATCCAATGTACTAGCTCAGCCAACAACAACTTGTTATTCAAGTTGATACATTGGACATAGCTCAAAATGCGTATGGCTGTTGGATTCCAAAAGAATTAACTAGTAAATAAAAAATAGTAATGCATAAATCACTTTTTTACATTCTTTTAATTTAAATCCTTATTCAATAGACTTCAGTTGCTTTAAGGGAGTTTTTTCGTCGACAAAGTGTTCATGAAATCTGTGGTGCACGATGAATAAAGATGAAGAAAATCAAGCAAATATTTTAATGGATTTGGTACGCGTTGTTTTCCTTTTCTCTAAAAGTATTTTAAGAATTAAAAATTCGGTTTCATTGCTTAACATTGAAAAGACTCATTTTGGGCTATGCCAAATTAATTTAACAGTTATGCCAAATATGTCAATTTGGGCTACGCCAAATTATACCTTTTCAGCTACGACCATTTTTTCAAACATTTACTTCGATCTACATTCAATTTTTAAAATCAGCATTTCCAGCTATGTCTAGTTCCTTAAACGCGCATTTTTGAGCAATGCCTAATTTTCAAAAGCACTGTTTGAGCACTTACTATTTTTTAAAATACGCATTTTGCATTGTGTGCAAAATAAACACATATTGTTGAATTGCTCCTTGATCAGTTATCACTATTATATATTTTAAAATTAATGAAAAATACATTATTTTTCTTTCCTTAAAGAACTTGTATCAAGTGCTCACTAAGTTTATTAATATTACATATAATAAAATGATGATAAGAAAACCTAATAAATTTCATTAATTACAAACTGCTTTTAAGTTTTTATAATTCTGTTTGATTATTTTCTTTAAAATTTTTTACTCTTGAATGCGAACTGCCCTTTGTTGCATGTTTCTAAATTTTTGTTGTTTGTTTTTGGAATTTATAACTTTTTATTGATTTAAATGAAAAATTGGTTTGCATGCAGGCCTTACTCTATGCTCCTTGAGACAAGTCTGCGAGTTAAATCTTTATATAAACTCAGTAATTATATTTTTTGCAGCATTTATGTGCAGCGATGACAAAACACACATTTCTTTGTTAAAAAATATTCATTTTCTGCATTTAAATACCATGCTTTATTTTTCTATGAAATTGAATTGTAAGTTTTCGTATAAAAGAAATTTATGGTACAAAGTACTGAATAGTATAAGGCATTGGATTTATTTTTTGAAGAATAAAATTTGCATCAGAAAGTTTCAATTTTTTTAGTGGTGCTCTATTTCAATTCGTCGTGTATAGTAAGCTTTTTTACACCTTATTAAAGTATGCGTAGTACAAAACATTAAATTTGTTATATGAGTTATGAAATTTATAGCAAAAAGCTTCCCATTTCACATATATCAAGTTTAAATGCGTAAAAAAAAAATTTTTTTTTTGCATTAAATTTGAAGTATCAAATTTATATCAAGAAATCTCACATTTAATAGCTCGAAATATGACATTTTTAGCACAAAATATTAAATTTATAGTGCAAAGCGTTTTCCATTCATTTCATCTCTAAGTGTCTTTCACGTCTTACTATTTAAATTAAAAATGCAATTTCATATTTTTCGTTTTAAGCCTAATGCTATTTTGTTTTAATACTTTAACAATAATTTTAAAGCATTATTAAAGCAATTTAAAAAGTAACAAATTGTTGAATTGTGTTACGAGAATTATTTGTTTTTATGCTCAACAAGGCAGAAATATCTTTTTCTTTGATTTTGGATTTTTAATTTTTTAGCGAAATATCTAAAAAATTCAATGTTCCCAGTAGAACACCAGAGTCAAGCATCACTAGCTGCTGTCAGTTAGCGGGTGGGTGACCACTTTGATCAACCTGCTTAGAGACTAAGTGTGCGCGGCATCTGTCCTCGTTAAATTGCTCTACCGTAACGTGCTCGACTTCACGCGCTGGTCGTCGAGCTGTCAAAGTAGAGGATTAAAATTGCGATGACATGCCTTCGGATCATCCTCTGACGGATGTTTCCCAGACCGTCACCAACAGCCCGACGTTAATAAAGTTCCTACCTACCTATAATTAACAATGCAGAAAATATCGTTTGCTTTCAATTGGTACTATTAGTTTTATAAGGAAAAATGCATTAAATGCAATTTTTTAGAGTTTATTTTATAAAACGAATAAACTTTTGTTTCAATGTTTCTAACAGCAATTTTAAAGCATTATGAAAACAATTTAAAAAGTGAAAGCAATATAAAATGCAGTTATAGGTTTCTCTCTATAAAACTAATAATATTTTGTTTTAATATTTTTAACAGCAATTTTAAAGCATTATAAAAACAATTCATAAAGGTAACAAACTGTACTCAATTGTTGAATTGTCTTATGAGAAGGATTTTTTTTTTCATTCTCTACAATGCAAAAATAACATTTGTTTTCAACTGGTACTGGTACTATTTAAGGAAAAATTTATAAAATGCAATTATGGGTTTTTCTCAATGAAAATAATAATATTTTGTTTTAATACTTTTAACGGCAATTTTAAAGCATTATAAAATCAATTTAAAAGGGTAACAAACTGTGCTCAAATGTTGAATTCTCTCATGAGAAGGACTTATTTTTATTCTCTACAAAGCAAAAATATCATTTGCTTCCTATCAGTTTTATAAGGAAAAATTTATAAAACGCAATTATGGATTTTTCTCTATAAAACTAATAATAATTTGTATTAATATTTCTAACGATGATTTTAAAGCATTATAAAAACAATTGAAAAGGGTAACAAACTGTACTCAATTGTTGAATTGTCTTATGACAAGGATTTATTTTTATTCTCTATAATGCAAAAATATCATTTGCTTTTAATCTGTCCTATTAGTTTCATAAGGAAAAATTTATAAAATTTAATTATGGGTTTTTCTCTATAAAAGTAATAATATTTTATTTTTATATTTCTAACAAAAATTTTAAGGCATTATAAAAAGGTAGCAAACTGAATATCACCGTTACAAGAATGATATATTCTTATGTCGAACAATACAGAAATACATTTTGTTTTGAATAGATTCCTCAACGGTAATCTTATTGCTTTTTTTTTCTTTTTCTTGTTCAGAAAGCCGAACTTCAGAGCTATGGAGAAAAAAATTCTTGATAGTATCATCGGTCCAGGAAGATATGATAGTAGGATTAGACCACTTGGACCAAACAATTCAACAAGTAAGAGATTCCATGTCTATCCTTTTCTCAATAAATTACTGGACATGATTTTAATATATTAGAAGTTAAAGTAATATCTTTCAAGGAATGGAAATATGAAAAAAGATACTGTTATGCAACTCAGGAAAATGTAACAATTTGTTTTATTTCTAAACTTGAGATGCAAATTTTTAAAAATGGTTGAAATTTCTAATATTATAAGGCATGATATAAAGAATATGAGTGTAATTAAATAATCATCAAAACTCAAGAATATTTAATGGCTTGTAAGTTACAGCTAAATAATGGCAGTGACTTATTATTCTATTTTCACTTTCTACACTGTGAAAATATAAATCCGTGAATTTCATGAATTTATATATTTAACAAACAATTAAGTATCAAACTTGACGATAAACGAAGAAAGATTTTCATTATTTTATGGATTGTATAGGTAGTTGCGGAATTTGAGCAATTCGGCTTACGTTCTTAATGAACAAAATTTCATACTGTTTAAAACTTTGTAGCAAGTCAGTTTTTGTCTATTTCAAATCTAGTTCGTCCCACAGTGAACTGATCGCTAAGACACGGTTCCCAGCAGATCACCGAAGTCAAGCATCACTGGCTATGGTCAGAGTGCGGGTGGGTGACCACTTTGATCAACCTGCTTAGGGACTAAATGAGCGCGGCATCTGTCCTCGTTAAATTGCTCTACCGTAACGTGCTCGACTTCACGCGCTGGTCGTCGAGCTGTCAAAGCAGAGGAGCTATCCCCTCTGCAGAGGATCAAAATTGTGATGGCGTGTCTTCGGATCATCCTCTAGGATGTTTCCCAGACCGTCGCCAATAGCCCATTGTGCAGCTCTAGTGCGACGTAAATGAACAACAACAACAACAAATTGTTATTTTTATTATTTTGTCGTTTCTAACGATACTTGAACAAGCCAAGCTTGCCTGTCATTGGGCATTTGTGAATTAAGTCAGAAAGGTACGCCTTTAGTTTGACAAAAGACTACCACAAGGTTGAAAGTACGTCTTAGCTCAGAACCGCATTGATAGAGGGCAGTACCACTTATCCGTGAGGACATTTCCTCAATTCAGACTCAGATCTGAAAAGGAAAGAAATATTCTCCAGATCTCTATAGTCATGGTACTGCCTAGCAATCAACCACGGGACTTCAATTCTTCAGATTTTACGAGCACGTATGTCGCACGTACTCTGTAGTCTCAGCTGATTTGAGGATCAAACTCCGGTTCCTTCGGAATGAAGCCCGTTCACTGGACTACCACGGCCCCTCATTATTCTTATAATGCATAGTTAGGCTGCAGATAGTAACTGCAAATTAGGTTCTTCTTTTGAATGAAAACCAATTAAAAACCACTCCTTCCCCTGAATTAAAATAAATGTTAGAATGAATATTGATTTACATTTAACATGTAATTATTTAAAGCGTTATATTTTAGTTAAGTACACTCTATAACAAACAAATCGACGCACCAAGAAGGAGTTGTCCGATTGAAACGAAAATTGATGGATAGGAAGACAATGTACAGAATAGTAAATGATTAAAATTTCAGAACAATTGAATAATTTATTGCAGAGCTACTATAGCAAGCTCAATAAGGTGTTGACCCGCCTCTAGCCTGGATACAGGTTGCCACACGGCGTGGCATAGACTGATAAAGCTCCCGGATAGTCTCTTGCGGTATTTCCTGCCAAATTCGATCCAATTGTCGAACGAGGTCATCAACATTCCGTGCCAGATGCAACCGCCTTCCCATCATATCCCAGACATGCTCGATGGGAGAGAGATTTGGTGATCTGGCAGGCCAAGGAAGACTTTGGCAAGATTGCAGACAGTTCATAGCAACACGTGCCGTATGTGGTCTGGCATTGTCCTGCTGAAAAACCAGCCCAGGGCGCTGCAAAAGGAACGGTAGCAAAACAGGTCTTAGGATGTCGTCGACGTACCGCTGCGCAGTAAGTATACCTTTAATGACGACCAAAGGGGTCCGGCTGTCAAAGGAAATGCCACCCCAGACCATAATGCCTTGTTGAGAGCCGGTGTGGCGTGCAATAGTGAAGGCAGGATCCCCCCTCTGCCCTGTGCGTCTCCAAACACGTCTTCGATGATCGTCAGGACACAGTTGGAAGCGGGATTCGTCGCTGAAGACTATATGTCCCCAGTCGGCATCATTACAGCCTGATCGAGCGTCGATTTCGCGCGTTTTAGTGCGTTCTTGCTGCATCGATTTTTTTGTTATAGAGTGTATATTCAACATAAATTATTTTTCATTTTAAGGTATCCGACTGGGTGCGATACATTTTCAAAAAAAAGGCCTTCATTTAAAGTTAAGTTTTATTTTTGGTAAGCAGAAGACTTAAAATTGCAAATTTAATATAAACTTTAAAAATTTATTAAATATTTTTTCCAAATCGAGGCAAATTCGAGTTCAAAAATTACAAGTTCCTTATGACACGCTAACAGCTCTACAACAAATTGTAATGCATAAATATCAAAATTAACTTTTCTTCTTAGTTTAATAATATGATTACCTGTGTTTTGAACTAAAATCTTCAAAGCATTTCAAATATACTATGAGAAAGAACTAAATATACTGTCCAATATTCATTTTTCAAGGAAAAATTCTAAACAGTCTTAATTAAAATACGATAAAAATAAGAAATTCATTTTTAGACCTTGGCTTTCAGTTACAAACATAGCTAACATTATGAGAAACCCATATACAAAGTTTCAAAGAGTTATAAAATTAATTTTGATTGTAATGTGCCTTAGCGTAAAGAGAGTTTTCTCAAAATTAACGTTTTTCTGACAATGCATTTAAAGCATGTAATTGCTATTATCTTTCGTTTATCAGCATGCGAAGAATTTCTTCGATTCCAAAGATCGAAAATCAAAAGTTTAGAGAAATATAGAAAGCTTATAAACAGAAAAATAAGCAATAAAAATAAAATATGACATTTTCATTGAAATTTCCTACTTTCAACCAGTCCGATGCAGTAAGATATCACGATATTTAGTGATAAAAAGCATTATTTGACAAACCCATTAGAAAATTATGATTATAGGCTGTTGTAACCCAGGCTATTCTTCCTTATTAGCTTTACTGTAAATATGATACCATGTAAGCGATAGCTTCATTTTAATTTTTTTTTTCAAATGGTGTCACAAAGTTATTTAAATTTATGGTAAGATTTGTTTCTATCGTATCTGAGTATACTGTAAAATATTCCGAAAAAAAATTACCGTAAAAAGGTGATGTAAAGGTGTGTTTTTTACAGTAAAATTCACTTTAACTGGAACATGCTACTGAACAAAAAAAAACTGGTAAACCGTAGTTTTTTCAGCAAATCCCTAAAATCACTAAATCACTCTAATCAAATAAATCCTACTCTAAAAATTACGTAATATTATTTTACGGTAAAAAGGAAATTTACGGATGACGAACCCAGAATACCGGTATCGTAGTTTGAACCGGAATTTGTTACTGTGTATATTTATTTTTTACTTAAAACTGTCAACACAGTGCCTTTATTGTAATGTATAATCTTTATGAAACATACTAGAATAAAATTTAAACACTCCAACCAAAAACTTAATTATCAATTAAATAAAGAAAATATATAATTCTTCAGATACGAGAGTTTCTTTTTCAATATTTTTAGCCAAATAATTATTCACCAACAAAACGCCACTTGTAAGATTAAAATTTTCATCAATACCTTTTAAACATGCATAAAAATAAGAAGCGCATGAAGTTTCTAAGCAGAGACGTCCTAGTGTAAGTCAAATTTTGAATTATGACTCTTTAATTGAACTGTTGAAATTTTTCGAGAACCACCGGTTGCCAGGGAAGGTGGTTCTATTCACTAAAATCGATTTGGCCTTTTCATGCAACACTTCCCATCTGTCACTTTCTCCAACAAAGATTAAAAAGGAAAAATTTATTACTTTGAGTCCCAATCTGAAATTGAGGATTTAAATAAATTGAAATTATGTTTGCATAAACGTTTGCTACATTTTAAGTGTCTGGGGAATTTAATTTTCTGTTATTGAAAAATAACGACTTTTTTTTTTAGTTGGAGAAATAAATGGGAAATCATCATAATTGATATGTTAGTGAATTTTTAGAAAACCAGTTTTACAAACTTTTTTTCATTCCTTTAAATATTTGAACACCATTTGGAATTAGTTGTTAAACTAATGTTTAAAAATTTGCTGCAATTTATTCTCATTGCTTTTGTTTTTTAAATTATGCATCTAAAGCGTGTTTATTTACGAACATAGGAGAAAAAAAATTATTTAATGAATGTAACCAAAAGTATCTATTAAAGCCGCGGAAATCATTCGAAAAGGCCTAAAAAGGAATTTATCATTTCAAGAAATTATACCCAAAAGAGGATTATAACGCTTTAAAAACTTAACAATTAACTATTTCTCGTTCCATAATTATCGATTTTAAAAACTATTTACGAATTTATGCAAGATATTTATTAAAAAAACTTGAAATTTTATTTTGTTCCTATCTACAAGAAATATTCTCCAGATCTCTATAGTCATGGTACTGCCTAGCAATCAACCACGGGACTTCAATTCTTCAGATTTTACGAGCACGTATGTCGCACGTACTCTGTAGTCTCAGCTGATTTGAGGATCAAACTCCGGTTCCTTCGGAATGAAGCCCGTTCACTGGACTACCACGGCCCCTCATTATTCTTATAATGCATAGTTAGGCTGCAGATAGTAACTGCAAAGTATGTTCTTCTTTTGAATGAAAACCAATTAAAAACCACTCCTTCCCCTGAATTAAAATAAATGTTAGAATGAATATTGATTTACATTTAACATGTAATTATTTAAAGCGTTATATTTTAGTTAAGTACACTCTATAACAAACAAATCGACGCACCAAGAAGGAGTTGTCCGATTGAAACGAAAATTGATGGATAGGAAGACAATGTACAGAATAGTAAATGATTAAAATTTCAGAACAATTGA